CTTCAGAGATGGCATTACTGGAGATCACGGCAATGCCATAGTGAGGAATTGTGTGCTAATATATGTGTTGATGATAATTCCATTGGATTCTTGTCTTAAATACACTTAATTTAGATTCAAAGCTAGAAATTGGTTTCGCATCCACTTTTTCTTATCCTTTCTGGAAATTACATAAATCAAATCCAAGCGAATAACCAAAATTTCTGTGTTATGTGCCGCGGTTATAATATGGTTCAAGATGACACACGGGTTGATGACGTCAGTTACACGAATCGCTTGAACGCGTTGGTTTTAACCGCGGTTTTGTTGCAAGTTGTTTATTTTAGAAAAGCGCGTATATAATCTCTGATTATTTTTATTATCACTTAATAATCGGTGCTTTTTCGTCTACAACTGTATATGGAAAGTTTAAATAAGAAACCTTTCATAATATTCATGGGAGAAATGTTTTTTAGATTTTTTTTTTTAATGATGGAACCATGGCTTTGTAGCTATGATAACTTTCAATTCTCTAAATTTTTCCGCATGTCAAAGAAAACATTTATTGATTCAGCAGAAATGATGAAAAAAGAAATTAGCAAAACCGTATACAGGTGGATATCATCTAGTGAGTTTATATGGCCATATTTTAATATTCTTGTGGTATATGGCTACACAGGATACTTTGTTAAGCATAGGAACTACATTTAAAGTGTCCCCAACAACCGTAATGAGTATAACTAATAAGGTGTTCCACTTTATGGTAAAAATGAAGCTGAAGTACAATAACAATATCCAATACCCGGCAAAATTCTAACTTGTCACATTTCAAATAATAACCAGAAATATAAAACTACTCTTGAGTTGGGTAAATACCACAATTTTGCGGTGATAACTATGACATATAACAGCTGATTCGTGACGTCACGGATCTTATAACCAAACTGATAACTACACTCGCTTGAACGGATTGGTAAATACCAACCCAAAATGGTAAATACCATTTCCATTTGGTTATCCGCTTGAATTTGATTATAGTATGCAAATTCGCTGAATATCAAAAATGAGAGTGATAAGAAATAACTATATTCACTGTACACTGTCGAATTATAAGTCATATATGTTATATCCTAACAGTAATTACACACAACGCGGGCGCGATGGTGATTTCCCGTAATTATCCTCAATGTTTTTGAAAACACAAAAAAACGTAGAAAATCGTAATTTATAACTTTGAACATAACCGGTCTTCAAGTGATTGGGTATTTTCGCACACAGTTGATTGAAAAGACACCCCGAGATTTCGTGAACAAATCGGGTTTATTTTATTTTGTTGACAAACTTGACATTTCGCGAGCAACGTCTTTTTTGTTTTTTCTTCCATCTTGGGATGATGAATCTTGACTGGCCGCGACGTTGCCAGTGTTAAACATATTTCATACAATAAATGATTATAGTAAAGTAAATCTAGATTCATAGAAATAAAGTACTAACAAAAAGGACAACAGGGTGACTTCGAAGTTGAGTCATTTATTTTAACAGTGAGTAGATCTGATCAAAAGAAATGTTTTTTCCTTTACCATTTTTCTGGTAAAATTAAAGTAACAAAGTTATAGCCCTTTGGAAGTTTGAGTACCGCCCTGTCTCAATAATAATATTATGTGCTCGTGTTTGGCAACAACGGATATAATCCGCCTTATCGGTTCATCGCGTCGGAAACAAAAAAGCGAAAGAATTTGGAACGATGTTTTTACAATTATTTTATTCAGTTATATACAGTCAGTGTCAGTCGGTAACGCGTGAGAGAATAGTGGTGTCTGTTGCGTGGCTCAAACGAAATCAAAAATGGCACATGTTTACGAAAATGCTGAACTTGTGGACATGATTCTTATTTACGGGAGGGGAGTCTTTATGCGGATCGGTTTCCCAATCGAGTGCAACCAACCCCTCGTGCCTTTGTTAATGTAGTACAAAGGTGACTTAAGACCTCACGATCAAATACAGGTCCGCACTGAAATACTTGTCGGGACGATACTTTATAAAATAAGGTAACATTTTTTTAATTTTTTTTTATTTTTACAGACATATTTTGGTTTATCTTCCTTCTACAATCATTATCTGAAAATTAATGACTCAACTTCAAAGTCACCCTGTATAAATAATCCGTCGGGAACAACTAATAGATATACTTCATTGGCAGCAATTTTCTCACACAGCAAATATCACAAATATTATACACATGCAGACCAATATACACAATTATACAGATGCGATCTTGCCTCAGACTAAAAATATAAGTATAGTCAACGCCAAACAAAGTGGCGTGCACGTCATCAAGGTGGGTGTGTTGAAAAATTTACATTGTTGCCAAACTTTTTGTAAAATAATAAAATTTATTATTTACATATCTAGGTTTATAAGCAATATTAACCTCAAATGAGAACAAAAATAATAGTATAATAAAATTATAGATCTGTACTTGCATAATCATTAAGTATGACAATTATTGATCAGATGACACTATGAAACTACCATATTTAATTGATAGCTTAAAGGTACTGAATAAAAATCCAAATGGGGTCCTCCAAATTTTATGCATGGTATTTATTTTACAGAATTCATACAGAAAAATGCATTCTAAAATTAGGCAAGCTACTGGTGTAAGCTTTTTCTGTACAATAAAGTTAGTCGGAGTTTCTTTCTTCAGCGCTGTCTGAATCTGAATCTTCATCACTCTCAAAGTTGATTATTAAAGGTTCGATGTCTGGTCGATCAAAAATTCGTTCTCTTTCATACCATTTAAAAATTTCTTGCTCAGTATGTCGAACACTATTTTTCCACATGTCTGGGGTAACCGTTTGTAGAGCCTCGTTCCACATATCCAAACAGTCTTTTTCACTGTTACCATCTCTACCAATATGTCTGTTATAGTAACCTTTTGCTATGCCCCAAATTAACTCAATAGGGTTAAATATACAATGGTAAGGAGGCAGACGAAGAACTTTGTGCCCATGTTGTTCCGCCAATTCATCAATCACGTATATTTTAGGTGGTTTGTTTCTAAAAAAGCAGTTATTTTAAGAATAGGAATAAACAAAAGAAATATAAACTGTCGACCAAAATATATATAATTAAGAAGCATTATGTACCGAGCAACAATACTCAATAGCTCTGTTTTAAACATTGTGTTTAAAAATGGTATGTTTTGATTTGTCAACCAGTCTTGGATATTTTTTTTTGTCCATGCATTGTTGGGCACTTTGTTCAATATCATGCTGTGATAAGGGGCGTTATCCAGTATAATCATAGATGGACTCTCCAATTTTTCTAATAACTGATGTTGAAACCATTTCAAAAAATTGTCCTGGTTCATCTCTCCATGTTAATCGCTCAATTTTGTTTTCGAAGAAAATATCGCTTCACTACCCTCAATAAACCCATTTTCATTTCCAGCATGTAATATAATGTATCTAAAATATATTAGTTTTAAATTTTATAGTGCAAATTGTGTAAAAGTACATACCTTTTACCATCTGTCTTAATAGCTTTCACGCTTTTTTGGTTTCCATTTTGCCAAGAGCGACCTATGGTCCCATTTTGAAATATCCAAGTTTCATCGAGGAAGACAAACTGGTATAAGGCCTCAACCTTGGCTTGATTGTATTGCCTTAGAAATTCCACCCTTTTCAAAGCTATACTTGGTAGTTCCATGAGCCCTCGTCGCGGATTGTCCTTAAGCCACTTAAATCCAAGATCTCTAAGCAACCGCCTTAAAGACGTGGCACTACCATCAAATAATGCCCTATCTCTTAATCGAGACCATAAAGTTTGTATCGTAACTTGTTCTTCTGAAACCATGTGTAATATGACATTATAATTTAGTTAACAAATTAATGCAAATTTCTGATAAGTTATTATAATAAGATCTTACTTTTGTGATACATATTATAGATCACTTCTCGAATGGCACTTGTATCCAATGTCGCTGTGTTGGTTACACGTTTAATATAACTCCGCTTTTTCTTGGGCGATTCTAAATTTGCATCACTTTTCACACCCTCGGAAATACGACTAACTGTCCTTAAACTAATTTTTAAAGCAGCAGCAACACGCTACAAAAAATGAAATAAAATTTCACTATTATTAATATACATTACATATAATTATTAGTAACCTACCTCTTGAACAGCATTTAAAGGCAACAAAGGCCCGTCGTTGTCCCTTTCTTGCTCAAAGTAGTGCGTTAACGAGGCCACGAGTTCCTTACACCGACTATTTAACTGTTTGGGCATCTTTATATACCAAAATTGCCTTTATCTACTCGTAAAATGAATAATTTTGTTTTGAAGCAAACAGTTGTTGATTTACAGTATGCGGGGCCAAAGGATTTATAAAGATTTGAAATGCCACAAATTGATTCAGTGTCAAAATTAATACAAATGTCAGTTCCCAGTTTAAATAAGTTTCAAGGTGACAATGTGTCAACGCTGCGAAATCGGTTTAGTGCGTTTACATGTCGATAAGTGATTGGAGCGTTTGCAAAACATTTTATTTCGCATAATGCGTCTAAATTTATCAGAAAGCAACTTATGTGATATTTTAATAACAATGTTTATATGACTATTAACCATAATAAGAGAGTAATGACCATTTTACAATTTATATATCACATTAATATGAAACTGCAATAGAGCAATTGTTTGTGATAGAAACCTAGGCATTAGGTCGGGGAATTTTTATCGTGATGACGTGCACGCCACTTTGTTTGGCGTTGACAAATAATTCTAAACAAAATATCGTCGTCAACATAACTGTATTTACGGTAAACAAATATATGCGACGCTGCCACTTCTCCATACTGAAAAATCTATTGAAAATGAAATGAGATATTGGTGTGCACTCCGCCCGAAATGAAGGTGGACTGCTCCTAGGCAGTTGTCAACGTCAGTTTAACTTTTAAAAATTTATTTTTTCTTTTCATATTTGTTTATACTCGCAAAAACGGTCACAGAGGTGGCCGACACGCCGTAAATTCAATTCAAAACGGCTGCAGGTTCGTATTGGGTAATTCACAGCGAACATTACATATAATATTTTGCCCAGTCAGTTGTTTGACTGGATTTGTTCCACCTTGGACGAAACTTGCTCTCATTCGAAAGTAGCACATTTCTACCGACTTTTTGCCGAACGTGGCAACGGTGTTCAACGGCAAGTGGTGGATGCATACACAGAATTTACAAACATCTGGTCAGTGTTGCCATACGTAGCGGAATTCCGCTATTTGTAGCGGATTATTTTGAGAAGAGCGGCGTAGCGGCGGTAGAGCAAATTAGCCCAAAATGTAGCGGAATTTATTACATACAAAACTATCATATTTATTTCACTGTTTTAACGTTAATAACGTTCTAAAACCTAAATAGGCAGTGGCTAGAGTCTGATTTATTATCACATTAATAATAAAATTGGTGCATTTGGTGCCGCTTGAGCCATCTAGGAACAGAGAAGAGAATTATTCCACTTGCCTTTTTTTCAATAACAGATGGCGTACGTACTGCTTTCAATACTAATCGTTTCTAACAGGTCTCAGCAGGCAGACATAATATTAGGTTTCTCGCTTTGTATTGTATTTTTCAGCTCTGGGTATATACTGTTTAGTTTCGTTTATATTAGTGTTCTTATTTTTGTGTTGATCATTTTATTGATATATCATTTGCTGCAGATTTTAATATTAAATCTACTGGTAAGTAACAAAACTGCTTAAATATCTAACATAGAACAGAAATAAATCTTAGTCGCTAAATTTGTTTTTAACGCTTTTTCTTCTGGAAAATAGGAATAATGGAAAGGCGGCAGCAGACCATTAACGATTTTTTTGATAAAAATCCTTCTAAAAAACAAACGGTGAAACCAAACGTGGCCGTACCATCCACTTTGACTGCATCTGTGTCGGACTCGGAGCATCCCGAACCTGAATACAGACAAAATAGAAGAGCGGAATCTAGTGGAATCAGGTCTGAGCCTGATAATTCGACTTGCGAATCTCAGGATAACCAAGAGCCAGAGCAACCTGTTAAGAAAAAGACACGAAAACAAATGTTTACTTCATCATGGCTAGAAGATCCGTTATTTAAAGGCTGGTTGGGACCTATTGAGAATGACAAGTTGAAAGCAAAATGTAAAGCTTGTAATCAAATAATGGGTGCTAAAAAATCAGATTTAGTGAATCATTCGAAATCAAAAGGCATGCCACTAATGTACAAGCAATTTCGAATGTAAGAACGTTAGATAGCACTTTTCAGTCTCGGGAAGCACGTGAGTTGGAAAAACGGCAAATATTTGCTTGCTTAAGATATAGTCTTTTAGTTGTAAGTCATTATATAAGTTTTAGAACTGTTGATCATATAACAGGAGTTAGTCAATTATGTTTTAAAGACCCAGATCTCTCTAACTCACTTAAATTAAAAAGATCCAAATGCATAAGTATAATTAAAAATGTGCTGGCTCCTGTTATTAAAGACGAAATAATTTCAGAATTGGAAAATAAACCATTTTCTATTTTATTGGATGAGAGTACAGACCTGAGCAATACAAGACTACTATGCATTCTTGTAAGGTATATTCATAAAAATTCAATTAAAACCCATTTATTAGATATAATTAAAATAAACGCAGATGAAGGTACCGCCAAAGGTTAATATTCTCTTTTTAAAAAATGCGTTATATCCAATCAAGTAAAAATTACCAATATTGTTGGATACTGTTCCGACAACGCTAGTATTATGACGGGCAATACCGAATCTTTCAAAACTTATCTTTTAAAAGATAATCCTAATATAATTGTCAATGGCTGCATTTGCCACTCTGCTCATTTAGTGGCGGTGGCGGCAGCTGAAAAGATTCCAAGCAACGTTGAAGCTCTTTTACAAAACTTATATTCTTACTTCTCAAGAAGCCCAAAAAGGCGTGTGTTCTTGAAGAATTACAGAAATATTTCAAAAAGTCAAAATTAAAAATTTTAAGCCCTAGTAAAACAAGGTGGCTTGTTTTATCCAAATGTGTTGATAGAGTTTTGGATCAGTGGGGGGACATCTTGCTTAGCCTATTTAGATTAGCTTCCATTGAAGACAAAAATCCTGTAGCAAATGTAATACTTAATGAGTTACAGAATCCATTTGTTAAGGCGTATTTAATGTTTTTCAAATTCGTGTTGCCCATTTTTAACCAATTTAATGCTCTCTTTCAATCAGAGAAAGTTATGCTCAATATCATATCAATAGAGAGTGAGCGATTTGTACGTCATCTATGTACAAACTTTATGCGACCAGAATATTTTAAAAATGAGAAATTATATAATCTAAATCCTAATGATCCCCACTGCTTATTACCAATTGAACAAGTGAATATTGGTCCGCATACAATGGATGCAATAAAACACTGCAATAACACGGCAATCGAACAATTTAAATTAAAATGTGTCACATTTTACCAAAAATCGGTAGAAGAGTCCCTTAAAAGATTTCCTATCAAAGACAACTTCTTTTCAGAGCTAAAGTTTCTCTCACTGGTTGATGTGAAGAACAATCATCTTATTATAAGTGATACCTTTCATGACGCCGTTTTAAAAAAATTTGCCCTTCATATTGAAACCGAAAAGGCAATTTTGGAACTAAAGAAAATATTTATTTATTTTAGTGATAGTGAGAAAGAGGAAATTTTAAAAACAAAAAGTAATGTCATTGAATTTTGGTCGTTTGTAAACGACCTCAAAAATTTTAATGACGAATATTTATTTCGCAATATAGGTAAACTGGCTCTAATCATTTTAACATTGCCTCATGGAAACGCTGATGTTGAGCGAACTTTTTTTTATATGCTTGATTACAAAACAAAAAAAAGAAATAAAATAATACCATCAACTTTGTCTGCACTACTTACAATTAAATTAGACTTGGAATCAAAAAAAAAAGTGCTGTTTATCCTATAGTTTTAATGAGAATCATTTAAACAAATATAAAAATAACTTATATAATGTAAATAAGGAAGAACAAGCTGAAGAAGAAGTAATTTCTGATTCTGACTGAGAATAAAATAAGCAAACGTAGGCATTTCCACGTTTGCGCTTCTTCTTTGTCCTTATTTTTTGTTTTTTTTTTCTATTAAGATTAAGATATTGGTGATAGTTTCTATTTTTTTATTAGTTCCTAATTCTAAACCAAAGACAGTTTTGTGTTTTTAGAGGTATACTTTTTATGTTTTTACGAAAAATTGCAATTATATTATGTTACTGTTTGTATTTTTAGTAGGGTTTTTATACAGTGTTTAAAAAAAAGTAAATATGTAAAAAATATATTTGTTGTTTATTTTAAGCCTCCCCCCCCCCCCCCTTACATTTTTAGACCGTAGCGGCATGTAGCGGAATTTTGCGATAATACGTGTGACGGATATTTTAAACTTCGCTCTGGCAACACTGCATCTGGTCTTTGTTATGGTGCACAGTGAATTTGTTGCGAGTATTCAAAAGTGTTTTCAGGTTGTTTTAGCGGCAATTATAGCATTGTTATAATTGATAGACAATTTTCAAAGACAATGGGACGTCGGAAGTGCATTCTTTGTGGAGTTAGCAGTGAAAAAACTGAGGCAACCTTCCACAGGTGAGTTAGAGGTTAGAGGAGGACAAGGGCGTAGGGCATGGGGATGCGTTGTGATTTTTAGTATTAAGAAATAGACATTTTATAGTTATTTGTTGTTTTTACACTGTATGTGTGGTGATTTTCAAAAAATACTCTTCTGTTAGACACGTTTTTGATCTTTCAGGTTTCCTAGTGATAAGAAAAAACAAGAAGAATGGTGCACTATCCTCAATATTGACATAAATGATTTACCACTTCATGCCTTTATTTGCACAAATCATTTTCACAAAAGTGATTTAATAGAAGGCAAAAGAACTCAACTAAAGCATTCAGCAGTTCCATCAGTAGAGCCTTTGAGGCAAACAGAGTAAGTCCTTAATTATATTTAGCTATTGGATGAAATGGAATATTTTGTTGCTATACTTTTACTTATCTATTTTAAAGTGATTCCAGTGATGAGGAGAATGAAATCAATCTTGCCCAGGAAATTGCCCTAAGCCATTTCAAATAGTGAACAACTGGAAAGCAGGGATCTACCTAGGTATGAAATTAAATAATCTCCTAAGTATCTAGAAGTTTGACTATTGAAGTGTTTACAGAGAACAAATAAAGTCACCAGAAGTAGCAAGTGTTTACAGAGAACAAATAGTCACCAGAAGTAGCAACAGAAATGGTAAGTATGTGAATACAGTTTTCCTGAACAAGATCGAACAACAGATAGTAGCACCCTATCAGCTTCGCTGTCAGGTACCCAGTCATTATCTGAATCCGATACATTAAGTGCTCCACAATCAGGTTCTGGAAGTATCCCAGTGACACCACAGTCCCGTACCCATGCCTCAGAATTAGATATGATGTACGTACCTATCTACTTTTATTTTCAAGTTCAGCCAGCTAATATCAGTCTTTATTTTGGTGCATTGTATTTTCATTATTTCAGGATTTTAAACACATTCATAGAAGCAAAAGGTGACAATGAGGAAGATAACCTCGAAGAAAATGATAGTGATGGTGAACCTCCACGGAAAAGGTATTAAGCTTTTATTTTGATTCTTCAAGTATAGTCTGGTGGTAATTAAACCTGAAGTAAAGATTTGATAAAAGGTGACGTTTATGTAGATTTGGCGTTTGCTTTATAGTAGCATTTAAGCTTTCAGAATGAAAACAAAACCTATTCGATACTTCGGCGATATACGTTATACTGATTTGGAAAACCCACTTAAAAGGCCAATTTGCTGGAAAGTCATTCAAAACACGTATAAGAAACAAAGAAAGACAATTGACTGTTTACTAGCCAAATGAAGAAGACAAGCAAACAAAATTTGGCCTCTTCAAGCATTGACAAACCATTTGAAGCGAATAAATGTGATATCGGAGAATGCGCAACACATACTTGATGTAAGTGATTACATGTTTATTTTTTGATTGTTGTTAAAAATCCTCATTTCTCAGGGCTCCATTGCAGAAGACATCTTCAACAAAATTCAAAGAGGCCGAAAAAAAGAAAAATATAGTGCAGAACTGCGTCGTTTTGCGCTAACTTTACACTTTTATTCAAAAAAGGCGTACAACTATGTACGAACAAAATTGAATAAAATATTACCCCACACCAGTACCATAACTAAGTGGTATGCAACAGTTAATGGGTCTCCCGGATTTTTGACAGGGGCTTTACAAGCACTGAAAATAAAAGTCACAGAAGAGAGAAACCAAGAAAAAGAGATCCTCTGCAATCTAGTTTTTGACGAAATGTGCATAATGAAGAAAGTAGAGTGGGATGGGAAGCGAACGTACGGATACGTGGACCTAGGCATTGGTGATGCAGGTGACACTGGAGACACTGTCGAAGAGGCAAGAGAGGCGCTAGTGTTCATGCTAGTTGCACTGAATTGTTCTTGGAAGATACCAGTTGGCTATTTTCTCATTAATGGACTCACTGGCGCAGAAAAAGCCAATCTTTTAGAGCACTGTTTAGAGTTCGTCCACTCATCAGGTGTCACAGTTACATCAATTACTATACATTTGATGGAGCGCCCTCAAATGTTGCGATGTGCAACGTGTTGGGAGCAAATTTTAACGTGGAAGGCGACTTTAAATCTTACTTTTTGCAGCCAATCACAAAATTCCCTGTCTTTATATTTTTTGATGCTTGCCATATGGTTAAATTGATAAGAAACTGCTTTGGGACATTCAAAATTCTGACTGATGGAAATGAAGAAACAATCCAATGGACCTTCTTAGAAAAGATAGCTAAGTTGCAAGAAGATACTGGAATGCATGCGGCAACAAAGTTGAGGAAAAAACATCTCCAATGGGTGAATGAAAAGATGAAAGTTAAACTTGCCGTCCAGACTTTGAGCAAGAGTGTTGCAGAAGCATTGGACTTTTTGAACAAAGATCTGGCTATGGCTGACTTCAAGCATTCAGAAGCTACAGCATATTTTTGTAGAACAGTAAACAATTTATTTGATGTTTTTAATTCAAGGAATAGGATGTCAACAAAAACCTTATGAGAAACCGTTGTCACCTGCTACTGAACAATATTTCAATTGCTTAGAAGAAGCGAAGGATTATTTGAAATCGTTAAAATTAGGAGACACTAGAGTTATACTCTAGAAGAAAATTAGGATTTTTGGGACTCATAATTTCAATAAACAGTTTAAAGGGCCTGTATGAATATAGAGTCAAAGAAACCAAAGAGCTGAAGTACCTTCTCTAGTTATCTCAAGATCATTTGGAAATTTTCTTCAGTTGTATAAGAAGCAAAGGAGGATACAGCAATGATCCTACCTCGAAGCAGTTTCAGAATATTTTAAAAAAATTATTACTTCATACTGAAATATCGTCGTTGCCGTGGAAAAAGCTCCTATGTGATAAATAGTAAAGTTTTCAGGAGATACGAAAAACATGTTCATGCTGAAAAGGTGTAGTAAAACAAGATGCATAGGACATAAGAATACTCTGTATTGAACATTTCATGCTTGTATTAATTGGGCAAGGAATATTAACAAAATTATAAAATAAAATTTTATTCTTAAATAAAACGTGTCCACATAGGAGCATTTACTATATTTAATAACGTCACATAGGAGATATTGCTTAATTATTAGACGTTACAATATAAATTAGCGATAAGGCACTACGAGTTGGAATTGCACTTTTTTACAGTGTTTTTGTCTTTTTTGAAGGTCAACTTGTCATAAAAATGATGATGCTCTTCTTCTATCACACCTTTTAGTTCTTGAAGGCATTTCCATTTCGTTTCAGCTATGGGAATTTCACAGGAATACAATGGAGGTGGTTTTTGAACATATCGTGTGAAAACTCGTTGGGGTAACTCTTCAAATTCCTCACTGTGCCGTATTTTGTAAAATATATCGCCAGTCGGGCGATATTCCAGTGCTCGGATGTCCACAACGTGTGGATCGCCCACTTTCTTCCCAGGTCGCAAAGATCGGAGATTTGTTGACAATTTTTCGAAATTGAGAAAAAATTTGTAATCCAGTACGTTGATTTTATATGGTTGTTTGGGTCTAGCGCTTCTCATTTGAGCAATATAATCGCTAGGTGAATTTATTGGTGGGACGAAGTACTTCTCAAGCGAAGCGTGTACGCTGTCACACTCCATCATGGTGTGGCCCTTCTCTAAAAAGAGTTGTCTGATAAGAATTCCTGACTGCACTGCATAATCACGCAGAGCACTACCTAGAACCTTATTTCGATTTTGGTATGTGCAGCCATCAGATATTAACGTAACTGTTTGGTACTTGTGTTCACAAGATGACAGAAAATCTATCACACATGTGGCAAACTCGTTCGAGGATACTCCGCCATTTGACTCATGCCAGACATAAAGAGATACTTCTTTGTTATTTAGCACAAAAATAGTAAAATTGTGTAGTTGTAGCTTCTGTTTGTAATACATCCTAGAGGCATCAGTTTTAGGGCATAATAAAACACTTTGTAGATCCATAGTCAGGACGAGATGTGTGTCATTAGCCTCAGCCTTTGCTTTATTCTTTGCATCTCGAGCTTCGTTTTTCATAATGATATGCTTTTGATATTCATCGTAGGAAACCGATTTTACCTTGTACCCACAACATATGTCGCATTGGTCCTTACGAGGTGAATGTATCTTAATTTTTTCCTGCTTAAGGACATCTAAAAAGAATGTTCTTGAGGCTGCCTTTGTATCATTACTTTTGCACCAGTCTTCATATACACTATACATGTGTGACAGAGATCTAAATGTCGATTCTACGTAAGTACAACTGCTTGTACTTCGGCAATAATGCCTAGGAACCTTAGGGAGCAGCGCTAACCATTTTAAAATATTGTTTTTCATTTCATTGTGAATTTTCTTCTTAACTCCTTCTGCTATTGTTCTCTTCTTCCGTTTCGGTATGTCGTCCCGTTCGGTTTCATTTTCTGCAAAAGTGTCGCTTCGTCTAACCCATCTCCTAAATGTATCTTCCCCTAGATCAAGTGTATTAATAAAGAAACGTCTGCAAACCCTTACTCTTTCTCCATTACATTTCGGCAAGAATATATCGTGTCCTTCTTTCTTTTTTGAGTTATTGTTTGCGTCTTTTCTCCTTCTTCTAACATCTCTGGTGCTAGTCAATCCTTTAACGAATGCTTTCTTTTCAGGCCAGCTACTAAAATTCCAAAATTTCTTGAAAATTCGTTGCCTATCGTTTTCAGATACCATGTTACAAAGAAAACTTCTTTCACTTTTCTTACCGCATAAAGTGTGACTACAACGCTCCTTTACTGATCTCGATGTCTTCATACAATTTTGTTTTATTTTACCATCATCGGATTTTTTGTAGCCAACATAAGATAACCCGGCAACTCTGCTTTTTTTGGCTTTAAGACGTTTCTTACTTATACGTGAAACTGGACTATCTGACCACGAACTTGAGCATGAACTATTACCTCCCTCTCCAAGGGTTCCCCCATTTTGTTCGATTGATGTGCGCACTTCATCCAAATCTCTTCCATCGTTTTGTGTTTTTACATCCGTAGTTTGATTTTGCACAGTATTCACCTCCATCACTGGATTCGCTGAAGTATGCTCTACGTTAGAATCTTCCACTTCCTCTTCTATTATAAATGCTTCATCAGTAGTCGAAATTGGTATAACAGTGCCATCAATATGACTGACAATGCACTCCTCCCATTCACTATCCATGCCTAAATCCTTTTGATCTGCTTCTCCATAAACACAATGTGAGCTTTCGTTGCATACATTTTTATCATTTTCGATATTTTCCAGTGCCGCTTGAAGAATTCGCCTACTTCGACTCGACATTATGATTATCTACAAAAAAAAGCTCGGGATAGAATATGTTTACAGCAATGAACGCCTGAACGTAAAAAACAGCTAATCAGATGTTGAACGTTAGGGTACGAACACAAAGAAAGCAGGTTTATCAGCGCCGACTCTCGACGTCGAAAACCGGCGCCTGTACGAGCACAAAGAAAACAACTAGCCGGGTGCGGACACAAAGAAAGCATGTTACCTGCTTACTTGTAGTCGACGCTTACAAACGCCAAGAATTAAGTACGCTTTTGAAATGTCCCGCACACAGATAAAACTTGTTGTAACACCCTGTTTATAGACCTTAATCCTTTTATGTTGTATAAAATACTACCAAATCTGCTAGTATGTCAATCATATGGTTCATCAGTATAATAGATAAAATAGAACTTACCTCAGTTGAACGGTTTCGTTGTAACTAATAGCAGCAATAAGCTCAAAAAAGTAATTCCGTTTAAATGCTGAAGCACAGTACCTTTCGGATTCTAACCTCTAATGTGCACAAACTAGACACGTGGTGAATGGTCAAAATCACTTATGTGTTAGAGAGTCTAACACATAAGAGGTTTTACAACAACAGCTATAATAATAGAGGTGGAGAAGTCTTCTATGTGTCAGCACTGGATGCTTCTGTGTACATAAGAGATTTTGCACAAATGATTTTTTGTGATGTGTACATAGGAGATTTTATTTTTTCAGAATAACACAGGTTAAGCTAAAACAGCACATATAGGGTTTTGCCACATTACAGAGACATTCATTACTTTTACGTTGGTATCAAAATACCAATTTCGTAAAAATTACACATGAGAGGTTTTTCCACGGCAACGACGATATGTGGCAATGAAGCATTCAATGTCGTGGCATTAGATAGCACATCCATTTTGCACTGTTCATCATCATCTTTAGAGATCAAAATTAGTGAGGATATGACCTCATCATCAAACAGTATAGACGAAGATGAAGATTTTATACAATTTAAAAACTTTCTTCGAATAAGTCCTTGGCAGCTTACACTGTATCTGGAAGATGTTGTTGCATATGTTGCCGGTTTTGTTGTGAAGAGGCTAAAAAAGTCTATAAAATGCCAGAGTTGTTTAGATTTGTTAGAAACTTCAGGAGAGTCTATATCGAAATTACAAATAAGAAAAACGTATGGAAAATTAGTTAAAGCCTCCGCTTTTGTAATAAATGTGTGTAAATATGGAGAACATTGCTTTAGGTTATATAAGGAAAGATTAGAAGTTGGCAAAAAAATATGACGAAGAGTTTTACAAATATTAACAAATTATACATTGCAAAATTTACCTCTTGGATTCGGAAATGTGTTTAAGGACCATGTATTCGAAGATGAACCTTTAAGTAATCATTTTTCATTGCTCTATAAACAAGTTTTAGAACAATATTTTCCCATTAAGTTGTACCATTATACCTCTAACTTGAATGCCCCTTCAAAACGTGTACGATCATTACTCACAAAAAGTATATTATATCAAAATCAATAAAACCTGATAATTACAAAAAAAATACAAAGCAAAATTATAAAATGAATTATAAATAATGACTTATACAGAGTGACAAGTCCAAAGGAATTGTTTTACTGAAATATGCACTAAACCAAATAAAATAAACCTCCAAACATGGATTGACTACTATAAAATAATGTATAAACCTACCCCCAATGTTGCCTTTAGCTTTTTAGATGTTTTACATCCATATCTGGATCAGCATATATCAATACAAGAACTTTTTGACGCGCTAAATGGCTATCAGAGTCTACAGAGTACGCTAAATCCCCAAGTATACCGTTATGTATAAAACGATTTATAATCCAACTTAAGCTCCACAATAAATGTAGTCTCAAAATCTTCCTAAACAATATTTCATACAGGGTTGACCAAACAGACTATTGTACAATATGTAATACTCGAAAGACCGAATCTTTAGGACATCTCCTCCTGGAATGTCCATTATACAATCCATTGAGAGAGCATATTCTGTCAGATCGTTTGAACCAAATCTGTGTCTTTGCTTGCCTAAATAAAACGAATGAGTTGAATTTATGATACAAACTTTTTAAATACTTTAGGGAACTATTTAAGCTAAGATCTTGCTTAAGGAATGAATAGTTTTTTTGTGCCTTCAATATCAAGACAGAATATTTAAATTGATGCGTCAATTATTTATTCTTTTTCTATTTGTTTATATATATTTTTTATATACAACTTTTGATCATGGTTACTATCATTTTCTTACTATTTTTTTGGTATTCATACTCTGGACAGGAAATTTTCTACTCAATTCTTATTATTTACATAATACTCTCTCTTTTGTTTATATGCCTTTGTACTAGGTATTATGAAACAATAAACCTGATAATTAAGATCCAATAATAAAACCTTGTTTACTTCTCTGTGTTTATTCTTTTCACAACCATGGAAGGTGATACTGGGTGTATTAACCAGAACACCATTACAAAAAAAGCACCTACGCCACTGGATGAATCAGCTGTGGTCTGCACATACACAGCTTATTGTTTGTATTTGTTTTGAATTGGGTTTGTTTGTCTTCATACATTACAGTGCCGTAAGAATGGTAAGTCTATTTATATTTTTAGTCTGAGGATCTTGCTATTCAACCAACTTTCTTCTCAGAGATGAGAACTATAGACTAACTCGGCTTCACAAAACATATGCAACCAACAATGCGTGAAGTTGAGCTATTCCCCCATAGATGAACGCTTACAACGATCCTAGTGAGCAAACGTGGAACTACTGTTACTAAAAATTACCTAGTCTGCAAGAGGACATTTTATTGGTTTTTTTACATAATACCCGTACCTGACTTTGGCCTCTCATCCTAACCGTGTCGAACTTCGCACATCCAGAACTGGCCGAACCGTCCACTCCTTTGTTCCTAGTGTGTCGATATTAAGGAGGCTTTTCCCTACTAGCCGTAGGCAGATCAAACATCGGATTAACACAGTTTCTTTAAGCTCCTAATAGCAGCCGCGGTGCTCCGATGTTTAGACTTCTGACTGCGCGGCTGCTTTGGTATACAAAATAGGAAAATTTAATGGATCAAGTCAGTCAAACAGGCCCATACAATTAGTCCATTAACATCATTTCCCTGCCTAACCGGTAGTTATGCCCGTCTGGCAACATTCCCACTTCCGATACCGTCAGACTTGGCAGCGTTGCCAGGCGTGCGATAATTATTGGATTTGTATGATAATTTCTAGCACTGTACGATGTACGATACTAAGTGTATGATAATGACTAAATATACAATAATTTTGTGATTGAGCTTTTTTTAATACCAATTAAAATTGTCTATATAGCCTATGTTGTTCATTCTCGAAGTAGTGTTACGTGTGCAACGGGAGTAGTGCTCTTCATTTGACACCAATAGACTGTTTGCATAAACCACAGAGCGTGACGGAAATAGCCTGCCTGATTATGAATTCTGGGACCTGCCGCACTGTGTACGATAATGTACGATTATTTGGACGTGCTTGTACGTGCCAAGGCTGGCACCCACTGAAGCACCTCTGCAGTACCAACAACAAACAAGCTGACCGTTACGCCGAGCACTGGGCCCAGATTGCTGAAGGAGACGCGTATCGAAAACAGTTTTAAAGACAAATGTACGGTTAAATCTATAATGTGTGAAATATGAATAATAGGTAGGTAGAATTCGGGCAGGCTGTCTTGCAGTAATCCCCCCCTTCCCCAGGGGTCTTGAGTATGAGTCAGCAAGTCATGTCTATCTGTCGCAATGCCTGTTGTAGTTGACGATGGACTATGAGATGATGGATGGAAGGAGTGATTCTGTTTCCAATAGGTGATTCTGATAAACTATTGCGCATAATGATGGAAGTAGATGAACCTTTTTCATGATTCATCCGGATGGTCCAGCCTGCTGAGACGTGTGTACGACATGCGACTTAGTGCCGTATCGTCAGTCGCTCCTAAATTTGTAGGACGCCTTTATGGCCTCCTTGATTGTTTTTCCTGTCCTCCAGAAAGGTAGGGAAATTTCTAGATTTCTACTGTTCCATATCAGTGCTCTGTTTTGAGGTAATGTTTTCTTTTTGAATTTAAATAAATTTCAGGCTGATGAAACTTAAATAAATGCGTCCTACAATTGTAGGAACGACTGACGATACGGCCCCTAGTGAGTGCGCAGGCGGCTCTGATTCATTGGTGGTGATGTGCTGTCTTTGGGAAGTTTCCTGGAGTTACTCCGTGGGAAGGGTAACGATCCGCAAAGACCCACTACATTCGTTGCGTTGGCTTGATTCTACCGTAGTGGTGCAACATTTTCGCCGTGGCACGATGTTGGGCCTCGGTCTCCCTATTGCAAAGAATAGCATGAAACTTCCTTCGCCCACAGCCAGTAGCTCGCTTGCAGCTGAACTCCTTGTTTTAGCCTGTTGGTGTCGGATCCCCATCGTTAACTGGACGACTAGCTTATTGGAGTCTGCTAATCTGGTGGCAAACCCAACTCCTTGCTAGCTGCGAGCCTCTTCTTTGGCGAGGTACCCCTTGTAGATGGGCTTGTCCCTTCGATGACGGATTTGATATCTGGTCATCCCTGTTGCCCCCACCGCATTTTGCAAGAAATATTCTGGTCCAGAAGCAGATTGGCTTCGATGTTGGCAAGCCTGAAGAAAACATCTGCTTCCGAATGAGGCGCACTTTCTGCCAACTCCCTGTTGTACTCGGTAGGATGGGCATTCTTTGAGCGCAGCTTTGTGCCAGGATATGATTGGAATATCATATCACATAAGCTTCGCTTATGCCAATCCATTAGGATCTGAGGTCCCTGTGGATGTCTGTGGGGGGATCTGGGGGCAGCTTCTATGGTGATTTTGTAGGCCTTTGTTGGTAGTGAACTGCCGTCCATAGGGACAGTTGTACGTTGGCTGGACTGGTCTGTTTCGGGGTACTGTGGTTGAGGCTGACGAGCCCCCAGAATATGTCTTGGGGGGCATCGGATTTACCGCCATCTCCATTTGCAGAAGCTGAGCATGGCACGGTGTTTGATCTCTGTGTCGTACCGCGTATAGTAGCATGCGATGGACGATCCGCCGAGTTGATGGAGTTGGCGGGTTGGCTTTCCATACCTAAAAATGGCTTTGGAACCTGAAAAGGTATACGACCTGAAGGGTAATAAAATTGAGGAGAGAAGGGGACAAGCTGTTGTACCTACCCGGAAGTTTCAATTTCGAAAAAGGGATAAACTCCCCAGACACGGGAGTTGAGGTAGGGAGTTCTACCTCTTTCAGGCTGGAGAGAATGACCGAAGAATCATCAACCATTACGGAGCTGTGGGATCACCTCGAGCAAAAGGTGGAAGTTGCTCCTCAGGAAGCGAGGAGTTGGGAGATCCGACTTATCTGCTAGGAACAGATGCCAAGGATGTTCTAGTTCTGCAGAAGGAGTTCGTGGAACCTTAATGTGCCACAATTGATACAAAATTAGTGAACTGAACAACAAACACTGCGAGAGTTGAGCTATTGAAAAATGGAGTCAATTTTGCTGTTCTATGAGCTTGTTTGTGCCAGAGAAATGCCGAAGTTCCTGGATTTGAATTATTGAACTGTGGGAGTTGAGGGAGAAGTTTGGGAATTAGAAGTATACCTCTAACAAAACTCCAGTACTCACTCATTAGGACGGAAGAATTGTAATCTGCACCATACACTAGAAACCACAACTACTACATTACCCCCGATGCATTGTAGGTCCCCACGTATATTGGATAGCGATAGATAGAAAGAATAGATAGAAAATAGTTTTCCAAGTTTAAAGGGCAAATCTAATATCTAATAGGTGCTTAGTATTACCGGTGTTGGAAATGTATTATATATAGTAGTATATCAAATTTGCGTTACACTTTTCATCGCCCCATACAACCATCTAACAAATTTATCAAAAATGGTCAGGATCCTCTCAAACGTCGAAGTTTCTGGAAATTTTCTCCGCCGCGACTGGACCGATTTTCAAATACTACAAAGCAAATTTCATCTAAATCCGAGCAGTACTTACAGAGTTATAGACTTACCCAAAATTTGCAGACAGGCTGACGTAAATGAGTGACATGGTTTTTCGAGATGTTCATGACATATACCATCCAAAAGCATAATATCTAACTGTTTACCAGTACCTTCAGTGGCGTAGGAAAAAAACAGTTAGTTACGAACATGCATAACAGGGAAATTAAACGGATCAAGTCAGTCAAACAGGCCTACACAATAAATGTATCGACATTCCTTCCCTGCCATACCAGTAGTGGCAGAACACTTACCAGAACCGACACGCCCCAGACAGCAGAAGGAGAGATTAGTATCGGAAGCATTTCCCTATCATCCCAAGTTTTAAGTACAAAATTTATGAGGAAATATGTCTTTCTAAAAATTTTCCTGGAAATTATCAGGGTCTTATGAAACGTCAAAAAATAAAATTTGAGCGATTTTAATTGTTTTTTTCGTTTTTGTCCATAGTTCCGCCGCCACTACACCGATTTCTAAAAAACTACAAATTTTTCCGTCAAGGATTTGTGAGCAGACCAACATACAGCCAAACAGATCGTCGGAATTTAGTTACAAGGTTTTTCAAGATGGACATCACATTTCCTTCATGTTTTCCCCTAGCTTCGCCGCCACTAAACTGATTTTCAAAAACAACAAAGCTTTTTCGTATTTGGTACAGTAGTAAACTAATGTGACAATTTTATCCAAATCCAGTGCAGTACTTCCAAGTGTATTCTTTTCACTATGAAATCCAGGATGCAAAATTGAACATTCCTAATTGACTAATTAGACTTCGTTACGTTCATTCGCCTTAAATGCTCATAATTAACTAATGTTTAAATGTATTCTTCTATCAACAAGCAAATGTTTAATACCGGGATAAGCAAGACATTGAGGCGTGGTGCTTTGTTAATCGTTTCACAAAATTAACTCAAATCGAAGGCACACTTAGATAGTATTTATCAGAGTACTCGAAGTTATAGCTCAGTCAATTTTGACTCGGAAATTAGAAATGTTCTAATTTTAATAGATCACATCCAACCGGAACCGCATCAAAAAGTGTAGAGCATATTGCATTATGACAAACGACAGTTCGATTTTTTTTTCTTCAATTCTAATTCCTAGACTGAGAACTAATTAAATTCTTCAACAACTAGCGACTTTGTTACAGAATTACATAGTCGTGCCATAAGTTCTGTCCCATGATAATCTCATGATAAAAATGAAACAAGATAAGATATATTTATATGAAAGATATTATTTATTCGACAACATTTTTAGAATTCATAATCAAACAGTTTTATTCAAAATGTCCCCCCTTGGCCTTCACACACTGCTTCAATCTCGCGGGCCACTCATCTATCACTGCACGCACAGCTTCCAAAGGAATAGCTGCCGCTGATCGGATCAAATCCGCTTTCAGGGACTCGATATTACGGTGGGCTTTGGAGCAGGCCAACTGCTCTAGCAGGTCCCACAACTTGTAGTCTAAAGGATTGAGGTCCGGACTCCCTGAGGGCCAATCTTCCGCAGCAATGAACTCTGGCACATTGCTTTCCAGCCAGCGCTGCGTACTCTTAGCCTTGTGAGCGGGGGCGGAATCCTGCTGGTAGACCCAGTGTTGGTTGGCAAACAATGTACCACTTAAAGGCTTGACGATAGGATCCAGTATGTCGCTCTGATAGTTTGCCGCTTTTGTTTTCACGCCCTGTTTACAGAAATGGAGCTGAGTGACCCCTTCGTAGGACACCCCCCACCAAACCATGACTGACGCAGGGTGGTGGCCTCTCTCAACTCTCGGAATGATCTCCGAAGCTTCCTGTGAACTCCTTGCATACACTTTGTCATTTTGTCGGTTGAATTTTTCTTCTATGGTGAAGATTTTCTCATCCGTGAACAAAATCTTTCGGAATCCCCCAGTTGCGTACCTCTCCAAGAGCTTCTTGGATCTTGTCGCCCTGATGTGTCGCAAGGTGGCCGTAAGTCGCTGGCCCGTACGTCTCCGGTAAGCCCCTAGCCCTAGGTCTTGTTTAATGATGCGCGACATCGTCCGGACAGGAATCTTCATTTCCCTGGATAGGATCTTCTGCTTCCGGAGTGGATTCCTTTGAATCCTGGCTTTTACGGCTTTGATGGCTGCTGGAGTCCTTACTTGACGAGGTCTTCCGCTTCTTGGCCTGTCATCAACAGAGGACGTCTCATTGTACCGCTGAATGGTCCTAGACACAAATTTACGCGATATTTGAAGGCCGCGTAAGAGTTCAAAAATCTGACTAGCACTGTGATTACACTTATGTAAAGCTATCACTGCAATACGGTTCTCTGCCTTGCCCCACTCCATCGTTATGCTTCGAGAGATCAATACAAACTGAGGTATATGTAATTACCCGAAAAGCGCTTAATCAACTGACACCACAATGTAAACAATCGGACAAGTATTAACAGGTCTACACTTGTTTGAAAACGAGGGACAGAACTTATGGCATGACTACGTATGTTTTCGTATCTTGGCAGTGCCTTATGGGTATGGAAAATAAAATCCTGATAAATCATTCCTTAAGCCGAAAGAATAAAATATTTGAATCTTTCAATTTACTAATGTCAACATCGATTATTCCAACAGACGATCTAAAAAACGAGGATAATCTGCATGATCTATGAATAATGGATGTAACCATCGATTACAGCTATTAAAAATGCAGTTTTGCATAAGTATGAGCATATAAATCGGCTCCCGTATTCCGTAACTGAAAAATGGCCTGCATAGCAATCTGATCGCCATAATGATCAGTTTGGAACTAGATATTATTCACTTGATGTTCACTTGAAGTAGCTGTGTGTGTAAACGTCAAGATAATTGACCTATATGCTGTGGCGATGATGTGATGTAACATCTGCTCCAGAGATGACACTAGTAGAGGCCATTCGCAGCTTCTATGGCGTAATGAGCTGTAAGTTCTATAGCTCTTTCTGTCAATCCAATCCTCGATAGCATTCATAACGAGTAGGCGTGGCCTGTACTAGCGACTAGCTAGCACACAAGTAACAAGTATAGCGATCAGCAGGGGTATTATCTAAAAAACGTAAAAAAAAACGTTGAAATGTCTTGCAGACTAGGTAGTTTTTAGTGTGCAAATAGTTCATTCCTGATTTTCTCGCTATGATCGCTGACAAGTGAACAACAGCTTGCGCTAAGTTAACATCTTGTAGAAAAACCTACGTTACGTCACAAAGAACCTACGGAATCTAAAAAACAAAAAACGACAAAATGTCACTTTTCAATATACGCAATACCCGTGCGGATCGCTATCAAGCGATTATTTTAGACTGGTGCAGTGTTTCACTTTGAACTTCTGTTGCCAAAGCATCTAAAGCTATGTACAGATATGTAACAACACCGCGAACCGAATCACGCGACAAACCGCGCCGCGCTAGTGTAGACGGTGAAAAAAACGACGTCGCGAGCCTGATAAGCGTTACAGCTCGCTGTTCGGGCCGATCCAGACTCTGTCAGTTTTTCAGCGTAATATCAAAGGAAATGCTCGCGACGAAGTTGCACATGTTTGGACAGGGATATCGGTGCGGCGAGCACGCGCTCATATCAGTAAATGGATAGAGCCCGTGAAGAAAAGAAGGAATGGTCGGAGGAGAACACTTTTTTGCTTATAGAGTTTTACAGAGCAGGGGAATTATTGTGGGATGCAAACATACCCTGAATTACAATAAAAAAAATGATGTCTTACACTGAACAACAAACATCAAAATTGGATCGTCATTTTGTTGCGCGATGTGGTTGCACGACGTGGTTCGGTTTGTGGTGATGCCCGTTGCAATGTTATTCGACAAAATGCGCGCGCTGCGGTTCGTCGCATGGTTCGGTTCGCGGTGTTTTTACATATCTGTACATAGCTTTATAGATATAATTTCTTGCTACGTTAGACATATAACGCTTGGTCTATAACATGCGCTATCAACGGGAAAGAAAAAATAACATTCACACGTATAATAAGTTGAATGAGCCTTATCTCGTTTAAGCGACACACATGCTCATTTGTGCACACTGCACAAAGTAACACTTTTCTGGTTTAGATAACGTCTACCAATTTACAAACATTTGTTCAATGTCCATTAGTCAGCATTAACAATCTGCAAATAAATGATTTAATACTTTGACCCAATAAAACTACAGTAATTAGTAATTATATTCCGTATTACTAAAAGACATGTAGTTTATCCAACCAGTTGTGGCAGAAAGATGACAGATGAGTACGAGTTTACGCTAGGGGAAGAAACCAGATTATATGCTGAAGAAGCTCTGAATGAAACTGTTGAGAGTAGAACAGCTGGACTTGAAGAGATTGGAAGGTAAATTTCATTTCTCTCTTATTTTTCAGAATAGATGTATCGGGTTATGTCTGCGGAGTTTGAAATAAAACGATATTTTGATTTGTTTTAGATGGTTGAAAGAGGAAAGACCAGACCTAAATGCAAAAACAGAAACGAAGTATTTGTTACCATTCCTAAGAGGTTGCAAGTTCAATCTAGAGAAGACGAAACAAAAAATAATAAACTACTATACAATGAGGAGAGATGAACCCATTTGGTTTAAAAACAGGAATCCTCTATTACCAGAGGTAGAAGAATTAGTTAGACTTGGAATATTTCTCCCGTTAAGGCAGACAAGTGACGGGAGGTTAGTAGAAAGTAAGATGTGAGATGTTAAAGACATATTTCCTTTCAGTAAAATGAAGTGGCTTGATGCCGTCAAACTATATTCATTTTCTTGTACATTGTTTTATTTATTCCAGATTGGTAATCATAATACGTACGGCAGCCCACAATCCCAGCATTCACAGTCAAGAGGACATTTTCAAAGTCGGCAAGATGATCCTGGACATTGCTGTGATGGAAAGCGAATCTTGCCAGATCTACGGTGGTCTTGCCATCTTTGACATGTCCGGCGTAACAATATGGCATGCAAAACAGATGACTATCATATCATTCGCAGAGCTGTGTTTGCTTGGCAGAATTACACGATCAGGTAAGAATCCTAGTGTTCCCAAAGTTCCTAAATTTTCAGAATATCTGATCTGTTCAATTTTCAGACCCAAGCGACTAGACTTTATCAACGCTCCAATATATATAAACTTAGTGTTAAGCATCTTCAAAAGTTTTATGACACAGAAAATGAAGAGTAGAGTAAGAGTTATCTATGGTGGGGCAAATCTCTTTATAAGGAAATCGATAGAGATATTTTACCCTCGGATTATGGAGGAAAAAGTGAGAGTGTGAAGGAACTGAGCAAATATTGGTACGAGAAGTTGGTTCAGTATCAAGATTGGTTTGCTGAGGATGAGAAGTATGCTGCAAAATAACGTGATCTGGATAATGTGAAAAGATATATAAAATTATGTAGTGAGTGTGGAGGTTTTTTTATAACTGTAATTATTTAGTAGAATAATAAAACAACCGATTTATAAGCTTTAGATTATACTTTTCCCGACTTGAGTGTCATTCTCCTTGGAATTTTTAATTTTTAAAAATCTGAGGACTGAAACAAAAGATAATATTTAAGGTAAATTTTATTATGAAGAAATCATACACTTGCATCACATAATAAAAAGCTGAAATATAAAAATAGCACGGAAACGAACACGTTGACTGAATAGTTTTTACGAGTGCGCATTATTACCTAGAATCTCTTAAAGCAATCACCAAAAAGGTCGGCATACAGTCAAAAAGAACTAAAATATCAATATACATGACTAAATAATTTTCAAATATATGTATATAATATATTCATCCAGAAATGGACTTTTGGGTGGGCGAAACATATCCGCTTTTGTAGATAGGAATACTTGACTAAATAGAGTGGCCTATTTATTAAAATGTTTTCTGGCATGTTTAGCTAGAACACCTTTCCTAGTAGTTAAAAACGTACAATGCGGGCAGGTATATATAGGCGTCTCAATAAACTGCGGATGTTTCTTGAGCGTGTGGCCATCCAAAAATTTTTTATTAGTAAACACCACATTACAATGTGGACACTTTAACAGACTATCAGACTCAGGATGCTCAAGCATATGACTAACTAAATGACGTTTACTGACAGTTTTAAATGTGCAATGTTTGCAGCCATATAGTTTATTAGTAACAGATCCCACTAATTCGGAATGTTGTTTGGATATATGCTCGTCTAATCATCTTTTTCTGTGAAACTGCCATTGCAATGGGGACAAAAAATGAGACTATCGTTCCCAGATTCTGGGTGTTGTAACTTATGCCTAGACATCAGATATTTGCTAACAGTTTTGTATACACAAATTGGACATTCATAAATCTTATGTGAAATTGAGTCAACAAATTCTGGATGGTTTTTAATGATATGGCTATTTAGAGTTTCAGTCTTTTTGAATGTTTCCTCACAATATTTACACTTAACCAAGCTTATAATTCCAGTATGTTCATCATATGTTGTTTTTAAGCAAGTACCATAGGAAACTTGTAAAATCACAATATGTACAGTGATGTATTTTACGCGCATGTTTTTCAGATATATGACTGTTTAAATCTCCTTTAGATTTAAAAGATTCAATACAATATGAACAAGACTGAAGCTTTGAATGTGTCAAAATATGTTCTATCAAAACTTTCTTCCAAAGAGTTTGGTAGGAACAGTGCATACAATGCAGAATTTGAGATGTAGATGAGACAGATTCAGAATGATCAGGGTGTTTTCTAAGTATGTGATTGTTCAGACTCTTCATAATTTGAAAGTAGTGTTACAATGAACACATGTAGGGCAAATTTTTTTTCTAACAGGCACCTCATTGTTTTTATCAGACACTTGAGAGGAATGTGTCGACATATGTCTAGTTAATCTATTCTTTTTTGTAGTTTTGAATTCACAACTTGTACAACAATGTATTTTATGATACACAGTTGATATAAACTCTGGATGCTTTTTAATAATATGCTCAGATAAATTTTGGAGATCTTTAAATGTTGCATTACAGTGGCAACATGTTGTAAGCATGTTGCGACCAACTTTTTTTGTTGGGTGTTGAAGCATATGTTATTGAGATCAAGTTTCATGTAGTTTGAAATTTGCAATGAGGGCATTTAAATATTTCACTAGAAATGGTTATAGCAAAATTTTGGATTGTTTTTTGAGTATATGGGCATCCAGTGTTTCTTTATTACAAATGCTGACCTACAGTGTGAACACATATTAAGAGTATCATCTACTGATGATTCTTTATGTTGCAACATATGTCTAGCTAGTTGATATTTTCCAATAGTTTTGTATGTACAATATTTACATTCATATACTTTTTGAGATAGAGAAAGATATGTGTTCAGGATGTTTTTGAATGATATGACTATTCAAAACTGGTTTGTTTTAAATGTTTCATCACAATATTCACACTTAATGAGCTTGTAGTTTCCAGTATGCTTCAACATATGCCTTTCCAAGCTACACTTATAAGTAGTTTTGAATTTGCAATTGTACATTGGTGTATTTTATGACAATGTTTTTTCTACTATGTGATTGTCGAGATCCTTTTACTTTCAAATGTCATGTTACAGTGTACACAAGTGTGAAGATTATAACTACTTTCAGATGCGTTTCTGTTCGCATTTCTTCCTGATTTTTTCTGTTTCTCGGCACTGTAATACGATAAAATATTATTCATCTAAATTATGTGCAAATAAGCCCATAAAATTACCTATTTAAAGTGTATCTGCATTTGGGTTTGTGAAACTGCCAGAATGATTTTCAATTTTGATGAGAAGTTCATGAGATATATTCTCAGATTCATACTTTATGTTATGTAGATCTATTTCTTGCTTAATTTTTACACCTTCTGCATACATAACATTGTGTGTTTGCGTCTTCATCGTATCGAAATAATTCAGTATCTACTTCTGGCTCCTTCTTTATTTCAATAAATTCAATTTTTGGTGGATTCTCAAACACCGCCGTTTCATGTTCCATTATGAACTAATATGATATTTTTCTATTCATGAATTGCAAACTTGGAAAATTGATTCTTGTTTATATACACTTTACACTTCAATACACAAAACGAAAACACATCTTCCTTCTTCAATACTTCAATCATGCTTCAATCACAAACTTCAATATGAAAACACACAGAACATAAACACATAAATTCACCAAAACAAAAACATAAATCAAATCCAAGCGAATAACCAAATTTCTATGTTATGTATCGCGGTTATAATATGGTTCAAGATGACACACGGGTTGATGACGTCAGTTACTCGAATCGCTTGAACGCGTTGGTCTTAACTGCGGTTTTGTTGCAAGTTGTTTATTTTAGAAAAGCGCATATATAATGTCTGATTATTTTTATTATCATTTAATAATCGGTGCATGATAACGTTTAATCATCTAAACTTATCCGCAAGTCAAAAAAACATTATTGATTTAGCAGAAATGATAGGAATAAGCGATGAAAAAAGATATCAGCAAAACCGTATGCAGGTGGACATCATCCAGTGAGTTTATATGGCTGTATTTTAATATTTTTTATGGTATATGGCTATAAAGGATACTTTGTTAAGCAAAGGAATTAGATTCAAAGTGTCCCCAACAACAGTCATGATTATAACTAATAAGGTGCTCTACTTTAAAGCTAAAACTGAAGTCAGCCTGTATCAAGTTTCCCAAAAATGTCACATTTCAAATAAAAACAGAAATATAAAACTACTCCTGAGTTGGGTAAATACCACAATTTTACGGTAATAACTATGACATATAACAGCTGATTCATGACGTCACGGGTCTTATAACCAAACTGATAACTACACTCGCTTAAATGTATCGGTTAAATACCAATCCAAAATGGTAAATACCATTTTCATTGGTTATTCCCTTGAATTTGATTATATACACTGAGTATAAATTGACAACAATAATCAAATCCAAGCGAATAACCAAAATTTCTGTGTTATGTGCCGCGGTTATAATATGGTTCAAGATGACACACGGGTTGATGACGTCAGTTACACGAATCGCTTGAACGCGTTGGTTTTAACCGCGGTTTTGTTGCAAGTTGTTTATTTTAGAAAAGCGCGTATATAATCTCTGATTATTTTTATTATCACTTAATAATCGGTGCTTTTTCGTCTACACTGTATATGGAAAGTTTAAATAAGAAACCTTTCATAATATTCATGGAGAAATGTTTTTTCAGATTTTTTTTTTTAATGATGGTACCATGGCTTTGTAGCTATGATAACTTTCAATTCTCTAAATTTTCCGCATGTCAAGAAAACATTTACTGATTCAGCAGAAATGAGAAAAAGCGATGAAAAAAGATATTAGCAAAACTGTATACAGGTGGAGTGAGTTTATATGGCCATATTTTAGTATTCTTGTGGTATATGGCTACACAGGATACTTTGTTAAGCATATGAACTACATTTAAAGTGTCCCCAACAACCGTAATGGAGTATAACTAATAAGGTGCTTCCACTTTATGTAAACTGAAGCCAGCCTGTATCATTTTTCCTCAAAAATGAAGCTGAAGTGCAATAACAATATCCAATACCCGGCAAATTCTAACTTGTCACATTTCAAATAATAACCAGAAATATAAAACTACTCTTGAGTTGGGTAAATACCACAATTTTTGCGGTGATACTATGACATATAACAGCTGATTCGTGACGTCACGGATCTTATAACCAACTGATAACTACACTCGCTTGAACGGATTGGTAAATACCAACCCAAAACGGTAAATACCATTTCCATTTGGTTATCCGCTTGAATTTGATTAATAATAATGTCCAGTTAAATTAGCTGTTAACAGTCACGTCAAAGGTATACATGTTCTTCAGTTCGTGCAATTTTATAGTTATCTCTTGCTTAAGGGACGCCACATTCAGCTAAATATTTTTTCAAAATAAGTATATCGTCGTAGGTAGCAGTATGGTGTACTTTTCTGGAACATCGAATTAAGCCATAGCAAATAGCGAATAACGTTACTAGAGTTTTCCCCACTGAAATTGCTTACACTAGAGCTTGACTTTCTTTTCCTGTTGTGAGTACTACTATCACATTTATGCAATGTTGGATCCTATTTCAGATTAGCGGCATCTACTATAAGGAAAGGTATAACCGCGGCACATAACACAGAAATTTTGTTTATTCGCTTGGATTTGATTCATATGCAATGAACTGTCAACACTGATGGAACAGGCGTAACGCGAATTTATTGCGGCTAGAATGGGAAACGAGAAGGATAGCGCTAGTCAGGGCAAAACATCGTGGTCCATTGTGGTATTTCCATATATGTTCTAAGGATTTTTGGTGAATGTTTGTTTTTAGTGACGTTAAAGATTAATAGTGATAGTTTGCGACAATTATTATAAACATTTTTATGCCGGACAGCCTTCAAGAGCTGTTGTTTTATGTGATATTTGTTTAAGACTCAGAAAAGATGTGAAAATGAAGTTTCACAGGTTGGTTTTAATCATCTCATTCATTTTTGTGATAGAATTACCTGTTAATTGGTACTTCGAGAAAATATCTGGATTTTTAGGATACCTACAGATCCTAACATGAGGAAGTTGTGGTTACATGCTATAAGAAGAGAAAACTTTAGTTTCATGAAAATAAAGTACTAAAAAAGGTGCCAGTTCCATCTGTGTTTGATTTTCCAGCCCATCTCAAGTAAGAACCTAGCTATCGAAGGGTTTTGAAAAGAAAACATGAATACATAATTTCTAGAATGAACTATGGTATAACCTATATTGTATTATAATGAAAAACTGTGCATCTACAGTATTGTTAATGCCATTGTGCACAAATATTTTGTATATATATATATATATAAGGGTTTTTCTTTGTACACTAATCTCTACAAAACTGGACGTGTTCCCACTACATTTAAAATAATATAGATTTAAATGTGCATAAATACTATTTGGAACATTATAAAGATATATAGAAAATAACATTTATTTATTGTGATAGTTCTTAGAGCTCTTATTTTTTATATGCAAGATATAGCATTTAGAGCAGTTAAGTTAATTATAAGCAGACATGTAATCTCTTTGCTACCTGAATTATTAATTACTTATGTTAAATACTAATTTTTATATCTTCAAATGTGTAAAGGAGAATTTATTGTCAAGTTTCATACATATGTATATATAAATAAAAAAAAAACTTGTTTTTTTAATTATAATTACGTTTCCAGGATTTTATCTCGTTCCAGTTGCCTGAATAACTTTTAAATCTTGTCTAAGAATCCTCGGTTTCCTATGCAATTCTTTCAAGTCC